CCCCCCCCACCCTTCCAGCCACCTCCCTCGGCTAGGTCGGCAGCGTCCGCGGGCAGCTTTCGGGGACCAGCGCCGCCCCCCAGCGCCCCCTCCACTGGGCCCGTTAGGGGCGCTCCATTCGGGAGTGAAGTGGCCCCCCTGGCCCGTTTGGCCCCTGACGCGGGAACCTAGAGGTGGAGGGTGCGCGGGGGCAAGAGCGCCCCTCCGAGCCCTGGGTGGCTGCTGGGTGACCCCCTTCGCGCTCCTGAGTTAGTGGTCACCCCGGTGCGGTGACCGATCTGGGAAACAGGGTTTCGGCGGAGGGTCCCTCGCCTGGCCTGGGCGAGTGGGAGCGAGGTGCTCACCTCCGTGAAGGTGCCACCAGAAGGAAGGGCTTTAGACGCTGAGGTCGCCGTCCCAGCGTCGGCTTAGAAAATGCTGGCTTCAACTCGTCCCTCCCCGAGGGCGACGAGGGCGGGGCCAGGCCCCCCACCTGTGACACCAGCGTGTTTGGCCCCTAAGGAAACCTACGTGGCCACCTGGACCTGGGCGGGGAGGGGATCAGAAATGCACCGCCAGGCGGGGGTGCGGGGGGCGGGGCTGGGTCCGGAGCCTTCTGCCGAAAGTGACCAAGTGACCCTGCTGAAAAAAGAAACAGGCACCTTCGTTGTTAGAAACGCAGTGTTTTTATATTTTGCTGTTTCCGTTCTGAGAATTTGAACTCTTCTGTGAACTTAATTAATCATTGTAAGAGTAATCCCCTTCACCTTCCCTTCGAAGAGCTTGGTGGTTCTTTCCAACGACTCTGGTCTCCAACCCCCTTTTTGTGTTTTCATGTCTTTTTGTGGTGGCCATTCTACCATTAGTAGGTAGTTTTAAAAATATACTATTTTGTCTTTTCAATAAACACCTACACAGCAAAGAAGGGTCCCATCTGACAATTTTGTGTCGTTCATTTTCAAGCCGTTTCTAAAAGTACCCAGAGAGTTCCTCAATTGTAGAAACAGGGGGAAACGATTGCTTCTGAGATTTTTCTTCCCCTCACCTTCATCTGATCAAGAACTCCTCGAATTAATTTCACATGGAGACGCCCCAATGAGTGTGGTGTATTTGAATTCTATACATATTTACAAGATGTATAAATGCAAACGCGCTGTCATCTGGTAATTCCCACTCACGGCGACCCTGAAGGACAGGGTAGAACTGCCCCTGTGGGTTTCTGAGACTGTCAGTCTTGACCGGAGCAGAAAGCCTATTCTTTCTCCCGTGGCTGATTGGTTTGGAACTGCTGACCTTGCAGTTAATAGAGTATTGTGTAACCTACTAACCAACCACCAGGGCTCCTCCACAAGGTATACAGCAGGCACCTTAACTAATAATACTGTCTGGATTTACCCCACACCACAACCAGGTGGTTTCAATTCTGTCCACGAGGTTTCCAGTGGCTAATTTCTCAGAAGTGGACAGCCTCGTCCATATTCACAGTCTGTTCTTAGTCTGGTAGCTCTGCTGAAACCTGTTCACGTTGGGTGACCCTGCAGGTATTTGAAATACCAGTGGCATAGCGCTCGGCATCACAATACGTGAGCCACCAGAGTATGACAAAATGACAGGTGGAAGACAAGGATGACGTGACTTGGCTCTCATGCTTTGGACATGTCAGGAGAGACCGGTTCCTGGAGTCATGCTTGCTAAAGCAGCAGGGCAGCAAAATTGAGGAAGACCTTCTACAAGATGGCTTGACACCGTGGCTGCATGGATGGGCTCAAACAGAGGACCTTTGTGAGGCTGGCACAGGGCCAGGCAGGGCTTCATGCTGTCTTACACGGAGCGGCTGTGCGTAGCAACCAACTTGGCGGCACCTGACAGGTTGAAGGAAATTAGTTTAAAGTCATTTGCAGGTGGGGAAAAGTACAGATTTATATTAACTCAGTGAAAAATCTAAGATTTTTATATCTTTGGGATTATCTTTCTGTGACAGGATTAAACAGTCAACTAATTATCTCCCCTAAAATAGCTGCCATAATGCAACTCTTGCGTTCATCCTCCCAATAGTTATGGATTAAAAAATGCATATGGAGAATCGGGTAAGCTTCTGTAAGACTAAGTAATGGAAATGAGAAAATTCATGGCTCAGAAAAATATCCCTTTATTTATAGCTTTATTATATTTATTTTGGTGCAGTTCATTTTAAAACCAAAAAGGGGGACCCCCACCCCCAAAACCCAACCTCACTGCCACGGAGTCGGTGCTGACTCATGGGGCCCCCTGGTGGTTTTCCAAGACTGTAACTGTTTATGGGAGTAGAAAACCCAGTCTTTCTCCCAAGGAATTGCTGGTAGTTTTGACCTGCTAGCCATGCGGATCACAGCCCCAAACAGTGCATTATACTCCAACTTTATTGGATACCCTCTAGGGACATTAATATAAAAATGAAACATCCTTAGCATGATCATCTTTTCTTGTGGATATCATCTATATGTTATCAGCCTGAAGAGACTGAAAATAAGAAGTAGAAGTCATCCTGGTGGGACTGGCCACTACATGTGAGGGTGTGAACCACAAAGGTCCAGTTCAAAACCCACCAGCCACTCCTCGGGAGAAAAATGAGGCCGTCTGTTCCCATAAAGCTGTCAAGTCTCAGAAACCCTTTGTCGAGTCACTGAGTTGAGATGACTTGACAGCTGATTGGGATCAGGAGTGAGAGGAGAGCTCCTCTCAGAGCGTAGTTGATTCCTGGTCAGTGCGCAACCAGCGCTCGCTCATCCGAGCGGGGAGTTTGAGTTTTGCTGTGATGTCACATGGATTTCAATAGAGCGTCATACTGCCGCCCAGGAGGAACAAAGGCCTGATGACCTACCTCTGAAAATCAGCGATGAAAACCCTCTGAAGGACAAGGCTGACCCACAGTTGACCTTGTCGGAAGGGACAGTGTTTCATGCTGTCGTTGGGTGTCATTGAGTGGGTTCTGACTCCTAGCGGCCCTGTGGACAACAGAACGAAACACTGCCCGCCCCCGTGCCATCCGCACACGTGTTATGTCTGGGCACATGGTCGCAGCACTGTGTCCATCTCTCTTGTCTACGGTCTTCTCTTTTCCGCTCCACCTCTCTGTGCCTAGGGTCACCAATCGTTGGGGGCAAAGGGAAGGCAACCCGCGACAATGGTCTGGACTGAAATAATCTCACAAAGACGACGAGCCGATTAGGACTGATAGTTACAGAGGCCATGAAGGAGTGAAAGGAAGGGTCAAATGGCCACACTGGAACCAGTGAGAAAAGTGTGAATTGTGCCTCTTCCAATACTACGAGGCAACCACGCCTGCCTGCCCTGTGCTGCTCCTCTTCCGACTGGCGATCCTACAGACGTTCACAACTCACGGCATCACGTTGATTCCGTCTCATAGCAACGCTCCAGGACTGTGTAGAACTTCCCCTGTGGGCGTGCAAGAGTAACTCTCCGGGAATAGCGAGCCGCATCATTCTCTCTGCAGATTAAAGAAAAAGGAACTCCTTTGAAAGAATATGTAGGTGTGCATCTTTGAAGGAGACTGTCTTTTTTACTCTCTTAAAATGCTCCTTAATTGTTTGTATTTACAGTAGTGTGAAACCTGTGACGGCCGGAATTTAAGACTGCCTCATTTCTCTAAGTCTCTGCAGAATGCAGTCTGAAGACTTTTTAGTGCTCATTTTGATGGAAAATATTTGAGTTTTCATTCTCTGATCAGTGTCCACCCTGTACAGGTTCCAGCTGTCACAGATACTGTGGTAAATATTTATGGAATATTCTCAACTCATAGCTAGACATTTTGCTGGAGCCCTGGTGGGGTGGTGGTTGCATGTTGGTCTGCTAACCGTCAGGTCAGCAGTTTGAAACTACCAGCTACTGTGTGGTGGCCGACAAATGAGGTTTTCTACTCCCATAAAGAGTTACAGTCTCAGACACCCACAAGGGCAGTTCTATCCTTCCTATACAGATGTTATGAGTCCCAGCCAACTTGATGGCTAGTTTGCGTTTGACTGAAAACTAGAAGAATACACTGTTGTCAGTCAATTCTGACGTATGGCCACCATGGATAGAGTTTCTGAGACTAAATCTTTATAAGCAAATGGTCTCATCTTTCCCTCTCAGAGCAGCTGGTGGGTGTGAACTGCTGACATTGAAGTTAGCATCCCAAGCTTATCCTTAGTGCCAGCAAGTCCAAATAGACTGCCAACAAATCAGTTCCAACTCCGAGCGACCCTATTTGTGGCTTCTGAGGCCATACATCTTTACGGACCGACGCTTCACCCGTGGTGCCACCAGGGCTCCTTTGAGAGCACTACTTACTAGGATTGAATCCCCCAAAGGCATTGGTCTTGTCTTTTATCTTTAAAAATACAAACAAACCCTACATTAGGAAGCACTTCTAAAGCCATAGACAGTGATGTACCTCTTTCTCTAATTAGGCAAAAGCCGGCGACACCAATGTCGGCTCTCTGGTAGTGGGCAATCTCTCAAAACCAAGCTTTGATGAGAGGAGAAGGGTAACTTGTATTTTAAGAATAAAGAGCTTCCCCCCACGCCCACCTTGACCCCCTTCTTTCTCAAAGCATTGGCCCAGCAGGAAAACAATATAAAGATCATTACACGTAGGGAGACACTTCACTGGAGAGCCCGTCTTTAGTGAGAACTATGGGAG